TGATTTTTTCCCCACATGTGTAGATAAACTACTACTATTGAAATCTGCATTGTTTCAATGAGTTCTTTTTGTTCATATAATGTGGTAAAGATTGTGAAAATTAAGGGTAAATTCACCCAATACAAATGAGTGACTGTATTTCTTAGCATCGAGTCAAATGTAAACTAGTAATCAGAAAGCTTTACATTCTATCTATTGTAATGTGTCATGAATTTTCATATAGGTTGGGATGATTCCAAAATTTGAGGTTGAGTAATGTTTGATTGGGCAGGGTGAGCGGGATCAGTGACGGAAATAGGGTTGCTTGCCCAGGCCGTCGCAAAAATAACCAACAAGTCAAAATTTTTCAACCAAGCCAAAAGATTGTCACATACCTCGCAGATCCCCGCAACACTTGGCATTTCAGGGTATAAAGGCTCCCAGAATATTTCGCCACTTTTATCCTTCTCCCCACTTCCTAGGGTGGCATAATGCCCCTACTCCCTATGTTCTATTTTTCATGCACTCTCTTTGTTTCAAGCATTGATGAGGTCATATCAATCCATACAGGTATGAACAACGATACAATGTCTTATTCTTCTCAATGATTATTTCTATGTCTATGCAGATCATACACCAACGTATCCTACTTCGCACCTGCAGCAAGCAGACAGTGGCCCATAGTCAAAGCCTCATAGTCCAGTGATGAAAACCTTTGTTGGGTGGCAGACAGTGTTGGGCAGTGCGAAGCCCCGCGATGATGTCAAACGTTCTCAGATGAATGCAATGTAAGTCGTTTATTTTTGATAATGCCAGAATTATACTTACTGGGTTTTCGTAGAGTTCTCGTCTGCTCGAGCATTCGCTGCTGTAGCTATTGTTGGCCACTGCCAATATATTCACATCACCGTTTCTGGCGTCAGCAACAACTACCTCAACATTGACTAGACGTATTGACCTCTGGGGTACATTGACTCTGCAAAGGTATGTTGGTGTCAATGAATGTTCGAAGAAGCACAACTGACTTACTCTCATTGTTAGCTTCCCCTGGTCCCGCTTTCGTGTTACCGCCTCCCGCGACATGTCATGCTACACTTCTCCTGGCATTAAAAAGAAATATTGCCTTCTGCAACAGACATGTGAATGCATCTACGCCACTGTGGATGCACTATACTCTTCCACCAAACCTTTCCCAACATATGCACAATGTTTGTCCCTCTCCGAGCCCCAAAAGGACGTATCGCGATCCGCAAAATGGACACAGACCACTCTCCAGCCTTAAAGCCTTGACCCCCTCCTGTCCCCAAGACGGCGTTTCGTCTTCTGCAAATCCATTACACGCCACCTACCTTCCGGAAGTCTTCCGCCTCTCTATGAGTCTCTGAGGCTTCGAGACGACTTATCGCCGTCTGCGAAACACCCTCTCTATGCGTGGGATGGCATTGGTTGGTGTTAGGAACTAGGAAGAGACAAGAATAAAAAGATTTGGTAAGTGTTTCAAGACCAGAAGGATGAAGAGATGCTTACCCATTTCGTTTAGAGTATTTTACAACCATTCCACAGTGTCCTGCGTCCCTCCTGGCCCCGAGACGATGTATCGTCTTCCGCAAAACGCCCCCACGCCACCATTCAGCTTTATGAACCCTCCCTCCACACCATGGCGTCGAAACGACGTATCGCCGTCCGCTAAACGCTGTCTCTGTGTGCTGGCAAATTTTTCCAGCCGTTCCACAACGTCCTGCAACCCTCCTAGCGTCAAGACGACGTATCGTCGTCCGCAGAAACGTCAAACATCACCCTCGGGTTTCCAGAACCCTTCCACCTCGCCATGGCGTCGAGACGACATATCGTCGTCCGCTAAACGCCCTCTACGTGCTGCGATAT